TTTAAAGTTTGTCTTGAGAAGATCCCCATTTTGAAGACTATTAAATAGAGCGTGATAGGTTTTAAAATCTGTAAAATCCTCTAAGAAAAAAAAAATCTAGGGGGATTTACATACATGCCATCCTATACTATTCTATTTAGATATTTAACACCTAAAGCTTTAATATTACATACATACCACCCATAGTTCATTTTCATATCAAATATGAGTTGTAGAAATGAAACATATGAGTGGTAGGACCGTATGAAGGAAATATGAGTGATATATTTCATATTAAAATAATATAGGGTGGTATGTATGTAATATTAAAATTTATGTATTAGATATATAAATAGGATGATATAAAAAAGTATGCAGATAAATTTCTCTAAAAATCTATTGTTGTTGTTTGCTTTGTTGTACTACTGCCATGATCATTTTGCTACTATCAAAAAATCTAGCATCGATGTCAGTCAATTATTAGTGTTGAACTGTGGTAACATCGACCTTTAATGCCAATCACTGACCATGAGTACGAGGTTATGATGTTCAATTTTTACGCATTGCGGCTTAATTGTCAAAAATGAAAGTGTGATGACTTAATATCATTAGGTTTTTTAGGTTATTTGAAATTAAGCTCTATATCTATACTATTATTATAAAAATGGCTTGAGGTTTTTTCTCAAATATAATCCTAACCTTCTATTTTAATTATTCTAATAGAATTCTAGCCTTTCCTTTATTTTAGTATAAATTTTCACCATCCATTTTATAATTATCATATTAAATATTAAATAAATTAATATTACCCAGGTTCTTATCCTCCTATCCCCTTTTACATGCTCTTCGATTTTTATTTGATATACTCTTCTTATATTTTGGTTCTTCTCCATTTCTTTATTCTATAGATTTATTTAATGCCTTTGTACAAGCTCTTTTACATTCATTTGGAATATAATATATTTTTTTTTATAATTCGTTTCCTACTCCTTTGCTTTTATTGGACGCTTTGCCTTCTTATATATTCATTTGATGCCTTATACAATTTATTGCCTTCAAATTAAAAAAAAAAATCTTTATTTAATATTTACAATTAATTATAATTTAATTTTAAATTATCGTTTATAATTCCTATGCCGTTAATTATTTTGGAAAGTACATATGGAGATGCGATCATGCAATGGAGAAGACATCTTCTTCTTCTTAAATAGGGAGATATATAGGCACCATTGAGAATCGATGCAAGGTATCAATCTTACAATGAGTAATGCATCAACATACCAAAACATAAAATAAGTAAATTTAAGTGTCTCGCTCATTTTCATATTTACATTAATGATGTCAATATTGCATATGTTTCTCACATATCCCAATAATATAGAGCATCTTTCACGTTCATTTTCATTAACAAATATTATCAGTTTTAATGCAAATAAATTTCAATTTTGCATATTATATCAGAAAATTTAATATTTTATTATTTGAACTATCTGAATTCTAATTTCTTATATTCATACATAAACATTCGATGTATACTTCATCATCTATCGTAACTCTTTTCCTGTTCACATTCTTGCATCTTCCCCTCTTGCCCTCCAAATCCCATAATTCAAAAATCCAGGAAATTTTTATGCTTTGCATGTCGGTTATTATGACCGTGATTAGTTTTTGTTTCAGATTTTTTTAATATTTGGCAAGTCATATATATGTTCTAAATCCTACTACGTATTCTTCATAATTTTAAATTCATTTTTCATAGTTTCTTATTCTTAAATTTCTACCATTAACACATTCATCAATTTTTTTCAACATAAAATTTGAAATTAGAATCACAAATTCTGATTTTTAATAACCTTCTAATGACGTAAAATTAAATCCTCTAATCAACAATTTATTCAAATTAAATACATTCTTCATAAATTTTATTTCCAGCAACTGATTTAAATGCATATTTCATAAATAAAATTTTAAGCTTCTTCTAAGCAATATTTTTTCTATTATATATATTATATGAATTTATACTTTTAATTTAGCTTAAAATTGTATGGCAAATGCTTCTTATTGCGGATTGGAACATTTGCGGTGGTAGAGAGAAAGAGATTCATGTCTTAACTTTGAACGAGATCCAACACATATACAGAGAAAGAGAGAGGTGTGAGAATCATAAGAGACATCAAATTTTTTACAAGGAAAAAAATGAAAAGAAGAAAAGTATATGGCCTGGCCCAGTTAAAAAAAATTATACTAATTTTTGTACTCTATTACAAATGATACCCATCATGGAGGGAAGGTCTTGGCTCAATGTATCATATATAGCACATTATATAGTTTGGGTTGGAGGAATCCAATGATAAGTGAGTCATTCTCTAGAGAACGCTGGCATGTTCATTTAGTTGGACAGACGAAAGAGGTCAGAAAGACCGTAGTTGTCAGGGGATGAAATTCAGAGAGATGATAGTCGTCGGGCGATGGTAATCAGAGGGACTGTAGTCGGCGGGCGACGGAGATGGGAAAGACCGTAGTTGGCGAGCGACTAAGATCGGAGGGACCATAACCAACGAGCGATGGTTGTCAGAGGGACCATAGTTGGAGGGTGAAAAAAATCGAAGAGATTATAGTCGGCAGGCAATGGAGGACAAAGGGATCGTAGTCGACGCTCGATGGAGGCTAAAGGGACTGTAGTCGGTAGGCAACGGAGGCCAGTGGGACTATAGTTGACGGGCGATGGAAGTCATAGGAATTGCAATAGGTGGGCGATAGTGGTCAGAGGGATCGTAGTTAGTATGAGACAGAAGTCAAAGGGACTGTAGTTGGCGGGTGAGGTTGGTCATAGGGGCCATAGTCAGGGAACGATGGAGGTCGGATGGACTATAGTTGACGGGTGATGGTGGTCAGAGGGATTGTAGTCGACGACGACGGAGGTCTAAGGGATCGTTGTCAGTGGGCAACGGAGGGACTGTAATCAGTGAGTAATGGAGGTCGAAAGGATTGTAGACAGGGGGCGACGATGGTTGAAGAGATCGTAGTTGGTAGGTGGTGAAGGTCGGCAACCGGGAGGCAATCAGATGATGGTTTAGCGAAAGTCCAGCAGCGGTCGGTAGCTGTGTGGAAGTCTGGCGGTGGTCAACAATCAAGAGGTAGTCCGATGGCGGTCGGCTGAACGATGGTTTGATAATAGTCTGGTAGAAGTCTGACGGTGGTCGACGGTCGAGTGGAAGTCTGTAAGGGTTGACGGCCGGGTAGAAGTTTGGCGGCTATAAGCGGAAGTGCGGTAGTCTGACAACAATCGACAGAGGTTCACCGGCGGTGGCGCTGAAGTTCTTGAAGCCTTAGAGTTCTCTCCAATCTCCAGTCAAAGGTCCCCCCTCATGTAGAGAGTGGGGGTCTATTTACAGATTTTTATGAGTGGCACACCCCGTAAATATATAGAAGATCTATGGCAGATTCGAAGTGCTACATCGGATGACTAGTATTGATTCCCCTGATCATAAAGCTTTTTTCAAATGTTTAAGTGCATTAATGAAGCCGAAATTAAACGATCTTGGGCTTGTTGGTTTGTCTCACCGAGCCGCTAAATCCGACTATAAGGATGTCATATTTGGATAACATTTAGTCATCCAATTTAAACTTTGAACCTTCAAAATAAACTTAGTCTCAGATTTGAACCCATTTGTGCTCAGATTGGACTGATTTTGGCGTCGTTGGATTCGTCTCTTCGAGACTTTTATTTTGACTATAAGTTTGCTGATATTGGAGTCACATGATCATGAATTTAATTTTAAAAGTTTCAAACTTGAATATGCCTCGAGATTCATGCACGGTCAAGATGATTTTTTGGTGACGTATCACTTCTATTATATATAGTCATATATATTAAAAAAATGTTTAATAAATATTCTTGATAAATTAGGCATTATTTTAAGCATAGTTTTGGGATAATAAAAAACATTCTTTAAAAATTCAAGGGTGTTATATATGATTTATAAACCGATAATTTAAAATTTTTGCTTTCTCTTTGATCTAACGTTATGACAAATACAAAGAAATTTGATCAAATATTGATAATACATAATCTTCTTATTGATAATTAGTAAAGCATAAATATTATCATTATTACTAGTGCTTTAAATTGCTTGGATGTGATTGTTGAAAAGCTGAATAACTTCTTGTAGTGTTGTTTTTTTATGCTACAGGTTTCTGATGACTTTGCGGCATAATTTTTACTGCAAATAAGGAAACAATGAAGTTGTATTGTATATTGTGACAGAACATTCCATCGCAAATTGCGGCGGATTTGTGATAGCCTTTCCACCGCAATATCACGTCGTAAGACCACTGTAAATTGCGGCAGTATTTCCGCCACAAATCCGTCGTAATTAGCAGCAGAATTAGCGGCGGCTGGCTAAAATGAACATGTCATTTTCTTGACTTTAACGCCATCATAAATCCATCACAAAATATTTGCAATGGATTATTTCCGTCGCAAATACTTTTCTCGCGTCGGAAGATATTCTGCAGCAAATCTGCCGCAAAGCTAAAGTTATGACGAATTGGCTTGTTTTGCGGTGGATTTAATCCGTCAGAAATATATTTCCTGTAGTGTAGCTAGTTCGCATTAAGTTATCACAAGGGAGGGCAATGGTAGGCTACTTAGACCAATAAGAACCTTTGAGGTTGATTGGTTTGAATCTAAGTGGTGACTAAAGTTGACCATGGTTTAGCCTATTTTATCTCAGGTTTTAGTTGGCATTTATAGATAGGTCCCTGGGTTGAATCTAACCCTAGACATAGGTGATTTGGGCTATAGATTGATTAAAGTTGATTCATGAGATAGCTTTGGACTAGGTGAACCTGTAGGACAAAATTAAGCTATGTTGCTTACCAATACAAGCTCAGTGGGATGATCCAAGGGTTAGGTTTGAAGTGGATTTAACTAGGGCTATACCAGGGCTCGATATGAGAGGTATAGATTTTGACCTCCCCTAGAGACTATATAGATAGTTCGATTAACTACTGAGCAGTGCACAAAAAGACTAATACCATTTTCCACTCTTCAGAAACTGATCTAGTTTACCACATTATGTACAATAGGTTACTCCAAATACTACAAGGAAATGAATACACACAGAATATAGCACAAAGGTAGTAAATACAGTCTCAAAAATAGGGGAAAAAAAATCTTTTGACTTTCTCAAACAAACTCAAAGCGCATGAGAAGTTTAACAGAATTGAACTTCGCACCTTTGCGATCGAAGATTGGCACGGCACGGATACCTGGTCTCAACTCAGACACTGGCAAGCAGGTTTGCCCGCCAAAGTCATCCTTTTCCGACATATCATACTCATGCACCTCAACTCGAAGCAATGCCAGCTCTGGTACTCTAATAGGAAAAGTGAATTCCTCATCCCAAACTGGTACCCAGTTATCCTCTATAGCCTTTGTTTTCTTCATTACACAATCAGCCGGAACTCCAGCTATTCCAACCTGCATTTTTTTGGGTTAAATTATAATTCACATAATGCTCAAATCTGCAATAGAAATGCCAAACAAAAAACAAAAGACTGTGAATTCCTCATCCCAAACTGGTACCCAGTTATCCTCTATAGAGAAGAAATAAGAACCGTCTTCTGCAGCAAAGAAATAGCACCCGAGCACTTCTCCTCTTCCGGGACAGCCGATGGTTCATCATCATATCTCTGCTTGCAGCAGAGTAAGCGTCGAATCGTTCTATTTTTTTTTTTATTATTATTGATTTGTTGGCTAATGAGTGGAGCTGCTGTGAAAATTGCAGATTTCAAACATGGCTCAGATTTATCTTATTGGGTTTTATGAGGAACGGGAGTTTGCTCTTTATGTGTCGGCTATTTCGAATGAACTCAGAGTTCCTGTTAGGTGCATTTGATTGGTTTGGTGAATTGTTAAGTTTTGTACTTCTGCTATGTTGCTTGATTTTGGTTATTGGTGTGGCTTTTGTAGATATTTGAGAGGATAGATCGCATGGATTGGCAGGAGGGTTGTATACTTCTCCTCATTCTTTGTACTGAAAAGCTGTTTTAGAAAGCAAGAAGAAGCTATCCCAAACAAAGTTTAAACAATTGGTGATTAGTTTTATAAATACATAAGTTATAATGAAAAAAAAAAATACAAATGCACTGTTTTTATTTTACTCTTGATATATCTAACCAAATAAGGGAAACATTTCTCCTGCGTTTACTTTGCAGAGAACCAAACAACCTCAAAGTATTTACTTCACACTGCATTTACTTTACACTGCATTTACTTTACACTGCGTTTACTTTGCAGGCAACCAAATAGCCCCTAAGTGTCCGTTTGGTGAAGTATTTAGATAGCTTTACTTTTTAAATATCAATTACAATTCAATTTGGTTATAGTTTTTTTTTTTTGTTAATTTTCAGAAATTTTAATGATTAGAAATATTTTTTTATGATTATATTTATTAGAGTATGCTAATTATAATAAAGTTATTTTTTATGTTTTCAAATGGAAAAAATCTATAATGTCATAATAGTTTTAAAAAAATTAGTTTCCCTGTGATAATTCTATAGCAGCTTTTACAAATAATTGTAGCCCCAAAAGACACATAGAAATGAATATCTTGTTTTTGTACCTTGGCATAAAAGTCAGGTGGGGAATATGTGTCAAAATGTGTCTGCTTAAAGTCGAGTCGCCAACCATCTCCCAAATATACTTTGACCTGCAGAAAACCAACGCGAGGGTCAGTTTTAGCATCAAATATAATGACTGGAAATTGTAGAAATAAAAAAAAAATAATAATGTTTCACCTTTAACGTTTTCTTCACCGGCAAATCTGCTTTAGGATCAAAGACTTCACCATGAGGGCCTTCCTTCATCAAGAAATCAGGCTTTTTAACATATCCGCATCCCCCATTGGCTTTATAGAATCCATGCATCAACCAGAGTGATCTTCCATATCCCTACTAAATAGAGAGGCCAAATCATCAGAGTTTCCATTAAGTTTCTATTTTTTACCATGAAGTTCATGAGTGTACAGTACGAATAATTAGCCTTGCAGAAAGAGAAGATTTCATGGCTAGGAGTTTAAAACAGAGGTTGTAAGCCAGGATTTTAATAGAGGACAGTATGTGCCCCGATCTGAAAAAAATGCAGCCCAGGGTGGATGATCAATGCGTTTGAAAAAAGCACACTTCTCTTAGTGCCATACAAAGAGTTCAGTTGGAAAGAACTTATCATTATAATCCGAACCGTGTAAAGTATTATGCTAAAAGGTAGATTTTTACCCCCTCTGAGTAGGTTTCACGACGCAAAAGATCTCAACGGTCCAGCTTTCAAGATTAAACAGACTGATCATGCAGATTAGCACTAGTCATGCGTAGGAGCCGGAACAATTTAAATCGTAATACTCTAGAGAAAGAATGTTTTGGGAAATGCTCAAGATAAAGACGATAAGAGTTTTTCGTGACAGGATAAAAGCTATTTATAAACACAAAATGAACACACCAAATTAGAACGAAATGTGACCTTTTATTCGAAAGCAAGGTTAAACCTTTTCACTTATTTTTAAGAAAACCCATGATTTTAATCTTTGAAAGAACCATATGAAATAACCACCACATATTTCAAAGATTGAATTTGTAATTGAGATGAGAACGCAATGATTGGAGCAAAGGATACAATGCATAAACTTTGGTGTCTTTTGGGATGAGCAAAACATCACTTACAATAATATACTAGAAGCAAGAGAACTGCTCGTGGTGATATGATGTATTTATTTATGCATAAAAACTAGAATTTAATAAGCGCTCCAGAGAACCTGCCTAAATTCACAAATAAGGCAGCCAAACCTTTACACTTATATAGGTGAACTCACCAAGTGTACGTCACAGGCTCACAGCAAATACTCGAAACAATAAATTAATTAAGCATGCATTAACACCCTTTTTTTAGTATATGCTCGTATTATATAAACTGTAAAGTGCAAACAAAGACGGATTAAAAATATTCAATTTTGTTTCAAATTTTCTCCATAACACCATTCTCTTGGATATTTAAGATCAATGATTTTTTTCTTGATATTTGATTCCTAAGATTACTTGCTCCAAATTCATTCATGACAAATTTGGAAGTGAGAAATTACTCATTTCTTCTATCACAATAAGGTCACTGACTAGAGACAAGCAATCACACTAAATTGTGTAATAAATTTTAAGATAAATACAATAATAGGCTTCATTTCCTTTAATACATTATGTTAATGCTATGACTTTTTCTTAGAAGTGACACGTTGTATGCCCTGAATACAGAGATAAGTGTGGAAGGACCATTGCATCGACATTCGGGTAGTGTTAAAGAAAAAAGTTTCCGTATCATGGATGAATATGGACAAAGAAGCTAGTCTATTAAACTAAAACTATGATAAAAACTTGAAATATATGTTCTCTTCAAAGCAAATTAATGGAATTAATAGATATAATGATTCATATGAAAATAAATATTACATGCATTAAAAAAACTAAATAAATTGGAGAAAAGGCTAAGGAGATTGATAGTTTAGAATTTAAACTATGGTATTTAAGTATGAGTCGTACTAGACATGGTGTATGTGTAAATTATAGAGAAGAGTTTGAAAAAATAATATTATTGAATTTGAGATAAATTATAGTTTTAAAAATTATTATTGATGCTAAGATTATTAATATTATAAGTGTTTATGCTCCTCAAATAGATATGGATGTGTTCAAATTTTTAAAATTTGGAATGACTTAGAGTCTATTTGGGATGGTTGCACCTTTTTGTACAAAATGATTATAAAATTGCTATGTAGAAAGTAACATTTTGTAAAAAGCAAATTCCTAGTATAATATTTTTTAAAGCAATAAAAAGTAATAGCCAAACAAAAATTATGATTGTGATCTAGAAAGCAAAGCAATAAGAAAATTGTCCTAAATGAAGCTTTAGAAGAATTAATACAAAAGATAACTCTTGAGAAAGAATTTTTATTTACGAAGATTTATATAAACATGTCGGTAAAATGATAGAATATTTTAAAAGCATCCAAGGTAGTCATAGATTTGGAGTGACTAATGAAAGAAGTATAATCATATTAGACTTTGCTCTAGCTTATGATTTTGTAATTGTTGATATTTTTTTATAAGAGAAGCATAATACTAAGTTAAGTGTGGCAGAGATGAGGATGCTCAGGTGGATGAGTGACTTTACCCTTAGAGATGGGATACGAAATAAGCATATACGTGAAAAGGTTGGAGTAGCTCCAGTAGAAGATAAGATTAGAAAGAGTCACCTTAGATGGTTTGGTCACATAAAAAGGCTGCCTTCCGATGACCCAGTTAGGAGAGTAGAGGTATTAGATTTGACTTGTGTTAAGAAAGGTAGGGGTAGACCTAAAAAGACTTGGTAAGAAAATATTAGGAATGACATTTCTTTATTAGCTTTAAACGAGAATTTGACTTTTAATAGGACACAATGGAGAAAAATGATTCATGTAGCTGACCCCAAATAGTGGGATAAAGGCTTGATGTTGTTGTTGTTGTTGTTGATATATTTTTATAAGAAAAGAGATGAACATCTCATCACATATAAGAATAGATACAGTAAAACTTAAAATGATTATTTTTTTATAAAAAATTAAATCATTTAGATTGCAAAGATTGTAATCATTTCGAGCGAAAATTTATGTACCAAGCATATAGTCATAAGATTAGATAATTTAAAGAATGCTAACAAAAATATTTTTGAAAGTAAGATACAAGATCTTAAGATTTTTATTGTTCATGAGAAAACTAATGTATGTGGGAAAAAGATAGTAGTACTAAGAATATTACAAAGTATGTGCTTAAAATATAAACAAGAAAAGCTCATAATTGGTATCAATAGTTTGTAGTGAAATCAAAATGTGCAAGAAAAGATTTTTAAAAAAATTATTATAAAAAATTGATTTAGAAGAAAATAACTCAAAAAAATTGGGAAATTTAAGAGGGGCCTGCAAGGAGTTTAATAAAGCAATATTTGATCCAAAAAATTTAGATTTTACTGATTTATATAATATAGTAGATACTAAGGAGTGCAAAATATGTACATGTATAAGTTAACCAAGCAAAGAGAAAAGAGAATTAAATATGTAATTCAATTGAAATGCATTAAGGATGAAGATTAAAAAGTGTTTATATTAGAAGAGGACATTCAACATAAGTGGATGAATTGTTTCAACAAGCATTTCAATAAAGAATATAAAAATAATTAATATTGACTTTAGTGCACTGAGTACCCTAAATGAAAATTAATGTTTTTGTTTTCATCATCGTATTAATAAAATTAAAGTTAGAGAAGCTTTAAAAAAACATGAAGTGCAAAAAAGCAATTAGACCTGATGATATTCCAATAGAGGTATGAAAATAATTAGGAGATGAAGGAATTTTTTGGCTTACTAAACTTTTTCGATATTTTTTTAAAGATAGAAAAGATGTTGGATGAGTGGAGAAGTGTGTTGGTCTCTATTTTTAAGATTTGAAATGATGCACAAGAGTTTGCGAAATATAGAGGAATTACGTTAATGTATCATACATTAAAACTGGGAGAGAGTAATTGAGCATAGGTTACGACGTGACACTAATCTTTTTAAAAATAATTTTGGATTTATGCTAGGTAGGTCTACTATGGAAGTTATACATTTATTGAGAGGTTTGATACATAAGAATAGAGGGAATAAGAAAAATCTACATATGATATTTATTGATTTAGAGAAAGCATATGATAAAGTTCCAAGAGAATTGCTTTTGAGAGTTCTAGAAAAGAAATGAGTTAATAATGCTTATATTCAAGTCATTAACGATATGCATGCAGGAGCTATTACATGTGTTTAAATACAAGGTGGTTTGACCAAGTATTTTTCTGTTTCAATTGAATTACATCAAGAATCAATTTTAAGCCCATATCTTTTTGCTTCGGTCATGAATGTTCTTACTAGACATTTGCAAGAAGATGTACCCTAGTTTATGTTTTTTATTGATGATATTTTTCTTGTTGATAAGATTAGAGGAGTTGAAGGAAAACTTGAATTATGAAGGTCAACTTTAAAATTTAATGATTTTCATTTGAGTAGATCTAAAACTAAATATATAGAGTGTAATTTTAGTAGTAATAGGTCTAGCGGGGGGATTGAGACATTGGGCGATCAAGTTATTAAAAAGAGAACATATTTTAAAAATATAGGATTGATTGTTCAAAGTGATGGTGAAATAGATGTGGATATTATTAGTAGAATTCAAGTGTGATGGAAAAGCACCCTTCAAACTTAAGAGAAAATTCTATAAGATGGTGGTGAGACCTATAATGATTTATGGCACAAAATATTGGTCATTAAAAGAGACACATTAAATTAAGTGTTCCAAAGATGAGGATGCTCAGGTAGATGTGTGGCTTTACTCTTAGAGATAAAATGCAAAATGAGAATACACATGAAAAGGTAGGAGTACCTATTAGAGATAGTCACCTTCGATGATTTTGTCACATAAAACTTTAGCCTTCTGATGACTTGGTTAAGAGAGTTGATATATTAGATCTATCATATATTAAAAAAAGGTAGAGGTAGACCTAAAAAGACTTGATTGAAAAGTATTAGAAATGACCTTTTTTTAGATTGAAATGAAAAATTGACTCTTAATAAGACACAATAGAGAAAAAAGATTCATGTAGCCGACCTCATATAGTGAGATAAAGACTTGATATTGTTGTACAAGAATAAGCTTCACTGGACTTGTAATTATTATAGATCATAGTGTTATGAGAGGCTTTAAAGAAAATGAAGTGAAAAAAAGCTGTTGGACCTGATAATATTCTAATAGATGTGTGGGAATGCTTAAGAGATGAAGGAATTTCTTGGCTTACTAAACTTTTTAATACTTTTTTGAAGACTAAAAAGATGTCAGATGAGTGGAAA